GGGAAGGAAGGGAAGGAAGGAAAACAGGGAGGGAAGAGAAAGAGAAGGAAGGGAGGGAGGGAGGGAGGGAGGGAGGGAGGGAGGAAGGAAGGAAGGAAGGAAGGAAAAAAGGAAGGAAGAAAGATATCTTATTTATTCAACCCAACCCTTCTTCCTGGCATGCTCACCCGTAAAGAGGTGATGGTTGTTTTTGCGTAACTTGTGAGCCCTCTCGTACAATTTCCTGGCACTTTTCCGGGATTCGGGACAGAGCCTCGTCCTCATGGTCTTTACCCCCTGCTTGGAGTCCGGGTTCAAGAACACCACAATGGGATACCACTGGGCGTAATTTAGGCGGTCCACAGCATTTGGGGTGACGTCCAAGAGGGCGTGTTTGTCCTGAGAAATGAGAACATGGATAAAAAAAGGCGAGTGGCATGTCTGTTCAGTTGACAAAAATACAGCATCTGGAGGAGGATTGCGCAAGGCACGGATGTCCAACCTTGGTCACTGTAAGATCTGTGGACTTCAACTCCCACAACCGGTTTGACTTTTGATGAGAACTCTGGGAGTTGAAGTACAGCAGCGCCTTGGTACCCAACTGCTTGGAAACTCATCGAATTTGGTACTCAGCACAATTTTGATGCAAAAATGTTGTCCCAGTACTTGTCGTTTGTTTAGTACTCAACGCACAAGCTAAAACCTGTCGTTGCCGGCTGCTTTGTGATTCGTTACATTATTCTTTATAGGGGAAAAAAAATGTTTGGTACTCATTTTTGGTTCATCACACCTCCCAGAACCGATGAACGATGAGTACCGAGACACCACTGGACACAGAACAAGAAGGCAGCAAAAATTGCAAAAAGCCTGCTATTTAAGAATAAATAAATAAAAAATAAATTCAGGTTGATGACAGCTGCACTCTTGCATTTTGGGAAGTTTTCAGACTGGGGAAGGATAATTGGAAGGACAATTATTCTCATGAATAGGATAATGTTTGTCTGGGGAACGAGAGCGCTCCAATTACTTACTCTGTCAATTATCTGTTTTATTGTGTGAAGGCGAATGATGCCTGAGCTACGTTGGTCAGTTCCAGCATCTCTGGGCTCACTTTCTGTTGGAAAAAAAGATAGCAGACATTACTGATTATTCACTCAATATTTCGACAGGTACCTGGTACTCTTTTTCGGCGGCTCCTTGCTCTGGAGAAAAGGGCAGGCTCTGTGGGCCAGAAAGCCCTATTCTCTATGTCAATGCTTTTTGGAAAAAGCTGTGCTTGCCGGAAGTCACAGTTGGCCTGGCTATTTCTATCGTCCTTCCCCTCTCCCAGCTGTGGCCCAGAGATTAGACTGCAGCATTGCAGGCAAACTCTGCCGACTGCCAGCAGTTTGATCCTAACCAGCTCGAGGTGTGAACTCAGCCTTCCATCCTTCTGAGGTCAGTAAAATGAGGACTCAGATTTGCGGTATGTAAATTCTAAGTGCTACTGCTAGTCCTTCCTTCCTTCCTTCCTTTCCTTCCTTCCTTCCTAGTGGTTAGAATGCAGTATTGCAGGCTGACTCTGCT